TGAAGGTTAAGTTTGTAAATGGGCCATGTAGGTCCACGTTTTCATATAGCCCCCATATAATGGTACCTCCCTATATTTGGTATTTTGATGATTTTAGCGACATTATTAACCGGAAGTTTTTAAGATTTGTTATTTAAAGTTCGTAATAGATACTACAGCCTAAGACAGAAAAGTGTCTGTGCAGGTCCGCGTCTTCCTATAGCCATTTAAATGTACCCCCTGTATTCGGTATTTTGATGATTTTAGCGTGATTATTCTTCGGAATTGTTTCAAATTGCGTCTTTAGAGCTCGTAATGGGATCTACAGTCTGTGACAAAAAATTGTCTATGTAGGTCCATGTCTTCGTAGAGCCCCCCATATAATGGTACCTCCCTATATTCGGTATTTTGATGATTTTAGCGACATTATTAACCGGAATTGTTTAAAATTTGGTATTTGAAGTTCGTAATGGATACTACAGCCTAAGACAGAAAATTGTCTGTGCAGGTCTACGTCTTCGTATAGCCGCCATATAACGGTACCTCCCTGTATTCGGTATTTTGATGATTTAAGCGACATTATTAACAGGAATTGTTTAAAATTTTGGTATTTAGAGCTCGTATTGGGATTTACAGTCTGTAACAGAAAATTGTCTATGTAGGTCCAGGTCTTCGTATAGGCCCCACATACCAGTAACTCCCTATATTCGGCATTTTGACGAGATTAGATGCAATACCTACCGAAATTGTTTGAGACGCGTATTTGAAGTTAGTAATGGATGCTACAGCCTATGGCAGAAAATTGTCTATGCTGGTTCAGGTCTACGCACAGCTCCGATGTAACGCTACCTCCCTATATACGATATTTTGATTTATTATTTTAGCTACATTATTCACTGTTTATTTTAAGTTTCGAATTTGAATATGGCAATGACTTATGACAAACAATGCCCATGTGGGTCCACGTCGTATAGACACCAATATGACGGCTATATTCGGTATTTTTAAAATTTTAACAGAATTTATCAAGGATTTTATTTCCAAATTCGTTCCAAATGGTGGAGGGTATTCAAAGTTCGGCCCAGCTGAACTTACTACTTTTTAACTTGTTTCTTTTTTCAATGCCAGTAAATTGACAGTTATTGGATATTGTGTACCAATATTATCGCTGCGTTTCCAAATCCATTAAAAGAAAATATTAAAACAAACTAGTCTTTCAATACAAAATATTAACTTTTATGACACCTTTCTTTTCCTAATAACAATCGTGACATTTTGTCCCTAAATATAGCACAGTGTAATAATCATTTAAATATGAAGCAAAAGAGATTTAAATGTCAATCGCTTCGGAAATTTTTAAGAGAATTTTGAATTTCAAACCCGGCAAGTCAACATGAAATTCGTAATACAATTAGTTTTCGTGGCAGCGATATTTTTAATATTCTCATCATCAATTGAATTTGCAACTGCCTGCGGAGAGATTGCTGCCGCCTGCAGGAATCATACGGATTGCTGCAGTGAACGCTGTGCACCTGTTATCCATAGATGTTTGTTTAATGGAAAAGGAGGTTAAGGTGGCAGTAACTAACCGTTCCAGAAGTTAATGAATTCCTTTTGAATTTGAAAATTTTAAAAAAAGAAAATTATCATTGGTCACCAATAAAGTTGATGCCAAATTTTGATAAATTTGAGGGTGTAATTACTTCTAACGTTTTATGAAAACTTTTTAAAATGCAAATGCAAAAAAGCCTGCAATGTCGACACCATTATCAGTCGAACAATTTGTAAGCTAGGAGTAAACTTTGGATCAACACCGATTCTTTTTTGGAGAGGAAGTAAACCCACATGAGCCATGTTTGGGGGTAATCAGGGGCCAGTTTCCTATTTCCTAAGATTCATAATTATTTTTGAGATCTTCTGCCGTTTCTCTAGAAAAGTTTCCGATTAATCTCTGCACATACTTGTTTTTTTTGTTTTGTTATAAAAAAAATGTAAGAAAGCTGTAAGTTCGGCCGGGCCGAACTTTTAATGCCCTCCACCAGTTGGAACAAATTAAGCAATTTTCAAAAAACAAAATCCGTTAAAAATTCTGGTAAAATCTTAAAAATACAGAATGTAGGCATTATATTAGGATCTATACGACAACGTGGAACGTAAGCCATTACAAAATTCAAATGCGAAACATGAAAAACATCGGTGAATAATGTAGCTAAAATTATCAAAATACCGAATATCGGGAGGTACTATTATATGGGGGCTACACCAAAACGTGGACCTGCACAGACATTTTTCTGTTATAGGCTGTAATATCAAATTTGAAACATTTCCGGTGAATTATGTCGCTTAAATAACCAAAATACCGAAAATTGGGAGGTGCCATTTTATGGAGCTATACCAAAACTTGGATCTATACCAAAAGTCCTGCAGACATTATATATATTTGAATAAAATTTTATCAACCTACTTCACTTCTTTCGGAAGCTAGAGTGATTTCCACAGACGGATAGACGGGCAGACGAACGGACATCGCTAAATCTACATAGAATTTTATGCTGATCGAGAATATACAGGGTGAGATAAAACAAGTAAAAAAACATTAAGTTCGGCCGGGCCAAACTTTTAATACCCTCCACCTTAGGGTAAAGGAAACATTAGAAGAAATGTGGCAAAAACCATTAAAATGCCGAATATCGGGAGGTACCTTTATATGGGGGCTATACCAAAACGTGGACCTATAATTACAATGACTCGCCACACGAACTGGGACCCATTATGATATACAACAATCAATTTTTAGACATATCCGTGAAGAAATGTGTCAAAAATCATCCAAATACCGAATATTGGAAGGTACCGTAATGTAGGGACTATACCAATCGTGGACAACTACCAATTTTTAGACATATCTGTGAAAAAATGTAGCATAAATCATCAAAACACCCAATATCGGGAGGTACCGTTATATGGGGACTATACCAGAACGTGGACCGATATATCTCATTTTCAATACCAACCATCCAAGACACAAGAAAAATTGCTCTGCTAAATTGTGGCGCTCTACGTCAAATAATGTGGGCTGTATCGTGATTTCAACAGACAGACGGACAGACAGACAGACGGACTTTGTTAAATCGACTTAGAATTTTATGCTGATTATGAATATATATACTTTATGGGATCTACGACGAATATTTAAGGATGTTACAAATGGAATCACAAATATAATATACCCTCCTTTTTAAGGTGGAAGTTGTAATAAACATCATCTGAAACATCGGAAAATTTTCAGAACTGCGGCACTTTAATTATACCCTACACCACATAGTGGTAAGGGTATTATGTCTTTGTGCATTTGTTTGTAACATGGAGAAGGAAACGAGATAGACCCATAGTTACTTTTGAGAACCTTCATGGAATCACTTTCTGAGTCGATTTATGCATGTCAGTCCGTCTGTCCGTCCGTCCGTCCATGTATTCTTGTGAACAAAATGCAGGTCGCATTTATTATCCGATTGAGATGAAATTTTCCAAACAATATTTTTTTTTGGCCCAAGGACGAACCCTATTGAAATTGGTGAGAATCGGATCAAATTTAGATATAGCTCCCATATATATCTTCATCCGATTTCGGGTTAAATGTGCACCAAATATCCACTATCAGTCCAAATTACCTGAATTTTGGCACACCCAACCGAGTTCGGTCTAGAAGCAAGTATATCAAAATTTGTCTTTCATCCGATTTGATCTTTAAGTCCCTCACATTCCTACTATGCACTCCACAACCGTGATATTTGGTACCAGGTATTAGATGGAGCACAGAAATAGCTGTTTTAAATTTTATCGAAATCGGTTCAGATTTGGATATAGCTCCCATATATATCTTCATCCGATTTCGGGTTAATTGTGCACCAAATGGCCGATATAAGTCCAAATGGACTGAATTTTAGTACATCGGACCAAATTCAGCCTAGAAGCAAGTATATCAAATTTCGTGAAAATCGGTTCAGATATAGATATAGCAACCATATATATGTTTCATCCGATTTAGAGTTTTAGTCCCATACATTCGTAATATTCACTCCACAACCGTGATATTTGGTACCAGGTATTAGATGGAGCACAGGAATTGCTGTTTTAAATTTTATCGAAATTGGTTCAGATTTGGATATAGCTTTCATATATATCTTCATCCGATTTCGGGTTAAATGTGCACTAAATGGTCAATATCAGCCCAAATCACCAGTCTAGAAGCTAATACGTAAAATTTGGAGAAACCCGGTTCAGAGATAGCTATAGTTCGTAAAATGCACGATAGAATTAGATAGATTTTGATTTTGTACCAAATATCTCATAGAGCTCTGAAATGCCCTGTACAAACCTTTTTACGAGAGCTCTACTAAATATGCATAGTGGTGTAGGGTATCATATAGTCCTTACTGGTTTTTTTCTGAATTTCGGATCAACCATACAAAAATGTTCCGAATTTATCTTCAATCTCACACCATTTTTCCGAGCTCGTTCCCAATTTAACATCAGAATTGGAAACTTGTGCAGAGTTCATTTCCGAATTAGGAAAAAATCGGAAATAATGTTAGCTGGGATGAGACAAATGACTTAATTAATTAAAGCTAAAATCAGCAGACTAACGGCTGTTATCTGGGTTTGCCAGCACACTTACACCGAATAGGTTGTACTGACTCTAGTACTTGAAGGACATGCGAACTTCCAGTTCTGAAACACGTCATCTTAACAACATTAGGGGGTTCGTTACAAATAAGGTATTTCTAGTTTAAGCATGACTCAAAAAATCCTTTTCTCCGTACAATTCTACAAATAGAGCGCACAATATGCCGAATTTCAGTCTTATGTGTTTTTCCATGGTGATTTGAAGCGTCTCAGGCTCGCCCCTCTTTCCAACCTAACCTAATCTGTTGGGAAGTATTGTGTGGTGTAGGTCGTGAATATATGTAACCACTCTTCACGCCAGGTCTAATGAGGAAATATAAATAAACAAATAAACATAATATTTATTTCAAATTTATTTAAACAATACATTTATGGGTGTACAAATCACAACGTTTGGAGCAGCATGATTGTCCAACGAAACAGGTGCCAACGACCAAGCAATCGCTTCGTTTCTAAACAAACAAAAATTATTAATCAATTTTCAAATTTAAATGTTTCAACCATACCATTTGATACAGTTTTTTCGTATGTATCGGCATATCTTCAAACTGGTACGCATATCCTGGAAATATGTGAATAATTAAACAATAAATGAAGGCAATTGCGTAAATACACATTTCGTACTGCCGAAAGTTAATATTTTCACCAAATATTTTGATAAATAATATTTGCAATTCGAATCAACAATATTTGCTTTGGAAGAAGAATAATAACAAGGCCAGTAGCTATTGTGCAATGTCACCACAGATGTCATGTTTTTTGTTCCGAAAAATTAAAATCGTTTTCAAGGTGAAGGTTAACCACCGATAACAACATACAAATTGGCAATAATTTTTGTTTTAGAAAGTGTTTTTTTTTTTTTACAAACTGTCAAAAGTACTGACAATTTTGTGCGGGTTCGTTTAACCCAATATAAGGTGGGTACGATATCTGTTGCAGAAAAATTCAACAGGAACGGAAAAATAGCTGTTCCCTAAAAATTAAACTTGCAAACTTCTACTGGGAATTGGTCTGTCTAGTAATGCCTAAAATCGTAACAGCTATTGAAAATCTGTAGACGCAAAATACGGTACAACGGGACAATTTGAGAGGTAAATATTGAAAGTTTTCTAATTCTAGCCGGACAAATATCTGTTTGCAATCACTTTCAACTCTTCTACTTCATACAACATTCAATCAGCTATTTTTGAACCCTCCACCATAATATGGAGGATATATAAAGTTTGTCATTCCGTTTGCAACACCTCGAAGTAAACATTTTAGACCCCACAAAGTATATATATATATTCTTGATCAGCATAAAATTCTATGTCGATTTAGCGAGGTCCGACCGTTCGTCTTTGGAAATGACTCTCGCATCCGAACGAAATGAAGTAGATTGATACAATTTTACTCAAATGTATCTTATGTCTGCAGGACTTTTGGTATTGAAAATGGGTCATATTATATGGCCCCCATATAACTGTACCTCCGAATATTCGGTTCTTTGTTGATTTTAGCGACATTATTCAACGGAATTCTTTTAAATTTGGTATTTGAATTCTGAAATGAAACCTACAGCCTATGACAGAAAATTGTCTATGCAGGTCCACGTCTTCGTATAGCCCCCATATAACGGTACCTCCCGATATTCGGTATTTTGATGATTTTAGCGACATTATTCGCCGGAATTGTTTCAAATTTGGAATTTGAAGTTCGAAATAGATACTACAGCCTAAGACAGAAAATTGTCTGTGCAGGTTCACCTCTTCGTAAAGCCCCTATATAACGGTACCTCCCGATATTCGGTATTTTAACATTTTTCACCAGAATCGTTTCAAATTTGTTTTTTGATTCGTAATGGATACTACAGCCTATGGCAGAAAATTGTCTGTACAGGTCCACGTCTTCTTATAGCCCGTCGACATTATAACCGATTTTTTTAAGTTTCACATTTGAATATTGTAATGGCTTATGACGAATGTTACCTACGCAGGTTCATGTCTTCGTATAGACCCCAATATAATAGCTACATTCGGTATTTTTAAGATTTTAACAGAAGTTTTAACGTAATTTATTGTTTTTGAGAATTGGCAAATTCGTTCCAAATGGTAGAGGGTATTCAAAGCTCGGCCCGGCCGAACTTACAGCTTGTTTACTTGTTTTACAGTACGATTTACATTATCTTGTGAACTCTTGGAGTCAAATGACATGTCTCTTAATCTAAAGAAATGCTAAAAAATTTTCCTTGTTTAGATCTCATCCAATACATTACAACTACTTTTTCGGTTCATGCAAATAAGAAAATGTTGATTCCTTTATTGACCTCGGTGTTATCTTAGATCCTAAACTACCTTTTCAGTTGCACATTGACTCGTCTGTTAATAATCGGCCCTATTACGGTTATCGTCGGCGTCGCAAAATGAAGTCGAGGCGACAATAATGATATTAGGGTTGTCGTTTTTTGTCGATAGCGACAAATGGTTGCCATTATCATTGCCGATACAATAGTCGACGTGAAGTCGATTTTTGAGAATATCTGTCGCCGTAAAAAATTGTGACGACATAGCATTTTTTAGTCGACGTTGATATTGTAAGCATTTTGTATTTGATATTTGACCATGAAAATAACAACAGCAAAACAATTTGAAATTTTGGTTTCCGAATTGGAAAAAAAATCCATGTTTGGTAAAAGGGTTTACCAAAGGTCATGTTCCAGCTAATTTTAATTCACATTGGGAATCTATTGCTACAAAATTAAATGTAAACGGGCCTCCGATTAGAGACTCCGATGGCTGGCAAAAAGTATGTAAAAATTAAAATTATTTTTGTATGTTTTTATTAGTTGGTTTTCTAAAATTCTTCTAGGTTTGGAAAGATTAAAAATTTAAAACTAAAAAGAAACTTGTGCACAACAAGGGTGAAACCAGCAGCAATGGAGGTGGCATTTTTAAGCAAATGAGTTTGTCGCCTTTGGAGGAGTCTGTCGCGAATATAATGCAGTTTCAGTTATGGAATCCACCAGGTCGTGCACTTGGAATAGAAGATAAGAAAACATAAGTGTAATAGACGTTATAGTTCATGAAAATGAGCAAGTGGACAATGCTGAAAAAACAATGTTAAAAAGTCACCTAGGAAAGCAGAAACTATTGAACTCTTGAAAGAGCGGCGTAAACTTTTGGAACAACACAATCAAGAGCCAGGCAATGCAAATATGTTTGTTGGCTGCATTAACACTCGCCGCTGCACTACAAATACATTCTTCTCTTCATCCTCACTTGAACTTAAGATATGTAAGGCATTTATAATCTTCATTTTTTCACTATATTTTTTATTTTTCCGAAAGAGTCCAAATTAGAATTCAAAATACTAAAAAAAATATATTTTTTTTTGTCAATAACAAGGAAGTGTTGCCAACGTTTTTTTTTTAATTGTTGCCAACTTTTATTTTAAACTCTCGATGTCGCTTCTATGCCTTACCATAATACCATTTTTGAATCGAAGCGACGGCGAGGGCTACTCGCACATAAAGTCGACGACGACTATAGGTGTGTCTGGTTACCCTAAAGTTTGTAACAATTGTTACTGGAAGTCGTCTGTTAACCCAAAAGTTCTGCAAAAGAGAGCGGTTGGAGAGAGAAATTTTGACAGTTCTTTCAGTGAGAGTTTGCAAATTCTTGCTTGAAAATTTTTTTCCTGCAATCTCTTGCAACTCTTCTTCTTCTCATTCATCGACATTCAATCAGATGTTTTCTATTGTTTACTTATTTCTTTTTGTGCTTTTAATTTGAAAATATTGTTTTGGAATTAACAAGACTAATTGTTTTTGGAGAACAACTTTACAAAATGTGAAAAACATAAATATTAATATGTAGTAAGAAAATAAAAGACTTTTAGACAAATGCCATTAGCAACAGGTTTAAAGGATTCCGCGGAACACATCAAATCTATCTTCCTTTTATTGCTCACATTTTTATTTTATTGCCAATTTCCTTTTTATTTATAAAACTTGTGAAATTGGTGGTGGTTCCTTTCGTTTAATTCTTTTAAAGGGGGACAAATTGGTTTGTTTTGACAAATCAGCTGATTAGTTGCAAGCTTGTGCAGAATACCGTCTGTTTACTTTTCGCAATTTCCTTGCAAAAGAGAATAAAACTACCTTACTCTCTCAGAAAGATGTTGCTGGACAATTCCAGCAGGGAAAGTAACCAGACACACCTTATAGTAACGACAACCGTAATTGGGACGATTATCTTTTTTTGTCAATAACAAGGGAGTGTTGCCAACGTTTTTTTAATTGTTGCCAACTTTTATTTTAAACTGTCGATGTCGCTTCTATGCCATACCATAATACCATTTTTGAATCGAAGCGACGGCGAGGGCGACTCGCACATAAAGTCGACGACGACTATAGTAACGACAACCGTAATTGGGCCGAATGCTAAAAACGCTGGCGTAAAGAGTGCGATGATCCTTATGTCAATCCAAAGAATGTTTTTTATTTTAGCTTCCCCAGCATTAGAATACGGATGCATTCTGTGGAGTCCCTTTTACAAATGCTATTCAGATAAAATCGAATCAGTTCAAGTTCATATGTTGCTCTACGGGGCCTTAACTGGAATTCGGAATTATTTCCGTCTTATGAAAGTCGTTTATTGTTAATTGATCTTCCAACACTTGCAAGGCGACGGTTTATGCTAAGAGCGTTATTTATATTCCTTCTCGTAAAACTCGTAATTTCGAACCGTTAAAATCATTACTCGCATGAACTAATTTCAAAATCAGTTACCCAATGAGGTCCTTATGTGCAATCTACAATCTATGTAATAGTATTTGTGTAAGTAAAAGATCTATTCTCCACATGTGACGACGGACCTTTGGGCCCATTCCAATCGACGAGGCTTGTCCGCAGGCAACATTCTTTGCGTCAATTGAATTTTGTACGGGAACAAATGCAAATCAATGCGAATAATGCGTTGTAAAGTGGACCGAGCCATGCCCAACTGCTGAGAACGGCGTTTTTGCGATGTTCTTGGGGACCTCTCAACACTGGCTCGTACGGCAGCGATATTATCGGCCAATCGCCTTGGTTGACTTTTATATGGCCTCTTCGGATTAGAAAGAGCCTTACCAGTCGAAAACTTTTCGTATAAACGCCTAATGGTGTTCTTAGAAGGTGCACTTCTCACATTTTTTAATGTTTTAAAAGCACGTTGAGTTTTCACAATTGACTTCTTCTGTTGAATGTAAATTTCAACTGTTTCGCGTGGCGTGTATTGATTTATGGTAAAAATCTGCTTGGACTGACGCTTCAAACGCGGTATGTCATTAAGCGATGTGACATCTCTGTCAAAAGTTATGGCGTTGCCAGATGGGTCCGTCGAATATGGGCAACCCTGTACATGAAATCGGCCGAAAATGTATATGGGAGTTGAATCCAAATCTGAACCGATTACTATATAACTTGGCAAAATTATTGTTGTTCAAAATTGCGTTGCGCATTCCAAATGTGGAGATTGCATCTATAATCGATCAGTAGATATGTGCATATTTTTGGGAAGTACCTCCGATTCTGATGCTATATCTCCATGCTTTAAAAAGTGATCACAAATAATAGCTAAAAACGCCGAAAACTCAATATTTAAGGAGTTATGCCTATTTTAAAGTTTTCGATAATTCATGCCCAAATAACTGATCACAAATAATAGCTAAAAACGCGGAAAACTCAATATTTAAGGAGTTATGGCCATTTTAAAGTTTTCGATAATTCATTCTTAAAAAAGTGATCACAAATAATAGCTAAAAACGCGGAAAACATAATATTTAAGGAGTTATGGTCATTTAAAAGTTTTCGATAATTCATTCTTAAAAAAGTGATCACAAATAATAGCTAAAAACGACGAAAACTCAATATTTAAGGAGTTATGGCTATTTTAAAGTTTTTCATACCCAAATAACTGATCACAAATAATAGCTAAAAACACCGAAAACTCAATATTTAAGGAGTTATGGAAATTTTAAATTATGAAAATGTTAAATTATTAATGTTTTTAGAAGACGTTTATTTCAATTAAAATTTATTTTCTTTTTTGGTTTATATTCTATGATCATCTTAAGGTTAATAGTTAAATGTTACGATTGAAAATTAATGATATTTTTCATGTATGGGATTTTTAGAGCAATCATTGTTTTTTTTATATACTTTTTCATTTTATGTTTAAAAGTTCAAATGTTATAAATAATTTGGCAATTTTTATCTGAAAACTCAGCTAAATCTATGTTTTTTTTTTAATATGTGCAACCATTTTTAATATATAATTTGTTCCAAAACATTTTCAATCATTTTTGTAAATATATTGTTTTGCCAAAATTGTTTTTAATTTTAGAATTTGTATTAATTTTCTGCACATTGGAATATACATTGAGTTTTTATGGAGATTTTGTTATTTTTTTATTTTTTTTTTTGGAGGGGAATCTTTCTTTTTTTTGTTTGTTTTTTTTTTCATTATTTTTATATATCAAAAATTCTAATAATTATATTAAAATAGTTTATAATCAGTACATTGACTTGGATAAACTCATCATATTTTTTATTTATATTTGGACAAAGCTTGATTGGGAGAAAACAAGAGAAAAAGAGATCATGTAAAGAATCCTTAAAAATCAGTATAAAACCAGTAAGGAAAAGTCAAAAGTCGGGTGGGGCCGACTATATGATACCCTATACCACTATACATATTCAGTAGAGCTCCAGTAACAAAATAATTTATTTGAAGTTGATCATACCACCATCAACATTTGGCTTTAGAGCAGAAATAGAGCAGAAAAAAATCTGTTTATAATGTAGCTAAAATCATTAAAATACCGAATATAGGGAGGTACCATGGGGGTTATAAAACGTGTCCCTGCACATACAATTTTCTAGAATAGGCTGTAGTACCCACTACGAACTTCAAATACAAAATGTGAAATAAATCCGGTAAATAATGTCGCTAAAATCATCAAAATACCGAATATCGAGGTTTCCGTTATATGGGGGCTATACGAAGACGTGGACCCGGACAGACAATTTTCTGTTATAGGCTGTAGTATCCATTACGAACTTCAAATACAAAAATTGAAACAATTCCGCAGAATAACGTCGCTAAAATCATCAAAATACCGAATATCGGGAGGTACCGTTATATGGGGGCTATACGAAGACGTGGACCTACATGGTCCATTTTCTGTCTTAAGCCGTAGTATCTATTACGAACTTTAAATAACAATTTCGAAACAATTCCGGTAGATATTGTCGCTAAAATCATCAAATACCGAATATCGGGAGGTACCGTTATATGGGGGCTATACGAATACGTGGACCTACATGGCCCATTTTCAATACCAAAAGTCCTGCAGACATTTGTGTAAAATTTTATCAACCTACATCATTTCGTTCGGAAGCTAGAGTGATTTCCACAGACGGACGGACATTGCTAAATAGACATAGAATTTTATGCTGATCAAGAATATATTTACTTGAGACTCCACAAAAAAATGTATGTTTCGAGGTGTTACAAACGGAATGACAAACTTAATATACCCTCCATACTATGGTGGAGGGTATAAAAATATATATATATCGGAGCCGAGTTCCACAAAATGGAAATGTACGTCCCGAAATTTACTTTATTTTGGCTGATATTAGCCATTATTTGCACAATAACCCTAAAATCGGATTAAGGATATGTATGGGAGCTATATCCAGATCTTAGTCGTTCTCGATAAAATTTGGCAAAATTATTTCGGAGCTCTATAAGATATCTTGTACCAAATATCATTGTTGTCGGATGTGTATTATGAATATGAGGGACTTAAAACCCAATTCGGATGAAACAGATATATGGAAGCTATAGCTAGCTATATCAGAACCAATTTTTCCCAGATTGATGTTCTTGCTTCTAGACTGAATTCGGTCGGAAGATATATGTGACAGCTATATCCAAATCTGTCGTACTTCTCGAAATTCTCTCCATTTTGGCTGATATTAGTCATTATTTACACAATAAACCTGAAATCGGATTAAGGATATATATGGGAGCTATATCCAAATTTTAGTCGTTCTCGATAAAATTTGGCAACATTTTTTCCGAGCTCGACAAGATATCTGGTACCAAATATCATTGTTGACGAATCTGTATTATGAATATGAGGGACTTAAAACCCAAATCGGATGAAACAGATATATGGGAGCTATAGCTATATCAGAACCGATTTTCCCCCGATTTGATGTACTTGCTTCTAGACTGAATTCGGTCGTATGTGCCAAAATTCAGGTATTTGGACTGGTATTGGCCATTTGGCGCACAATTAACTCGAAATCGGAAGATATATATGAAAGTTATATCCAAATCTGATCCAATCTTTGTAGAATTTGCTAGAGGTATTTCCGAGCTCTATGAGATACGTGGTACCAAATATCATTGTTGTCGAATGTATATTATGAATATGAGGGACTTAAAACCCAAATCGGATGAAACAGGTATATTGAAGCTATAGCTAGCTATATCAGAACCAATTTTTCTCACGTATTGCAATAAGGATCGACCTTGGGCCAAACAAATATTGTTTGCTAAATTTCATCTCAATCGGATAATAAATGCGACCTGCATTTTTTCACAAGAATACATGGACGAACTGTCGGACGGACTGACATGCATAAATCGACTTAGAAAATGATTCTATGCATATCTTATGGGTAACTATGGGTCTATATCGCTTCCTTCTCCCTGTTACAAACAAATGGACAAGTATATAATACCCTTACCACCATGCGGTGTAGGGTACAAATACTTAGAGCAAACTCTTTAAATGTTGCCTTTATTGAGATGTCAACAACTGGATTATATGGACATTTGTCTAGCTTCACACCAATGGACAAAAGGTTTGTTCTCATCCATACCATGTGAGTTATCTCTTCTGTTGCCAAAATACCCAGATTTGTGAGCCCTTTCAATCAAAAAAAAAATGGATTTTATTTCTTTAAAAGTCTACCATGATTTTCTCTCTACTCTCCGTTTTTTTTTTTTCAAATTTTCTCCACACTCAAAACTTTGCCCTTCAATTCTATCTCCCTATAATTTTAAATTGTTTTTCGTTGATTTTAAAATTATTTTGATTGAATCACTCTTTTCTTTTTGGGTAACTTCTCGCTAGCTCCGTCCTAATCTATTTTCTTACCCTACACTTAATCATCATCACCATCGTCGTCTTCCTCAATATCCTCCTCTGGATCATCGTCGTCATCGTCCTCCAAATCACCCTCATCCTCCTCTTCGTCATTTTCTTCTTCAACCTCTTCCTCATCGTCGTCGTCGTCGTCCTCATCATCATCCTCGGCAGCAGGCTTTTTGCGTTTTTGCATTAGTTTCATTTTCAAATGCTTTTTCTTCATATTTTCCTTATTTTCACTGGCCTTTTCACTTTTTTCCAATTCCGATTCACTGATATCATCATCACTGAGATCGCCATCATCTTCCTCATCATCGGCCATCAATTTGGCTTGTTCTCGTTTCTTTTTGCCAGCTTCTGCGAGGATTTTCTTTAAATCTGAAGTATTGGAAATTTTGACACGCCGATTACTGGAATCCAGGGACTTGACTTTGATCTCATAGAAATCCGTAATACGCTTGTCATCGAAACTGGAATACTGGAAGACAAGAAAACCAAAATTAGTTATATTTTTTTAACCTCTCATCTCAATCTCCAACTTACCACAGAACTTGAGGTGAACAAAAACTCTTCCGGCGTTGTCTTAACCCGAATATATTTTTGCAACAAATTATTACCATCCTTGCGCCACAAACACAAGCGATTATTCTTCCCATAATCTCCCGCCAAATCCTTGATGTAGACCAGCAATTTAATCGCATCCTCTTCACTGCTATTGCCCGTACCATTACCCGACGAAGAACTGTTATTCTTTTCGGAAAATTGTTTTTTGGGCGGTAAACTTGTGGCTGGTTTGGATTTGGTTGCGGAAGCTGTTGTTGCTGCTGCTGCCGGCGTTGGTTCTGCATCGTCATAATCATAATCATCTTCACTAAGATCTTCATCATCTTCTTCTTCTTCGTCATCACTTTCGGCATAGTTGGCGGTTTTACGTTTTGTAGCATTTTTGGCATTTGCCCCAGCTCCGGCTGGACCACCTTTACGTTTTCTCCCCTTTTTCGATCCGCCACCTGCTGATTTTTGTTGTTTTTGTTTCTTGCCATTTTTATTCGAGGCCGATGGACGCCAATCCTCCTCGGAGTCATCGTCATCGCTGTAATCCTCTTCCGAATCGACAAAGGTTGTCGTTACCATTTCGGTACGGCTTCGCATTTTATCGGACTATAACGAAAGTAAAGAAACATTAAGAATCAAATATTAAAGCTGTGAGAACAATAGAAAAATCAAGGCCTTGGGAAAATAGTTACAAATTGATTAAATCGAAGAACTAAAACACACATATTCTAATAGACTCAGAATCTGAGAGCAATCCGTAGTTGGAATCCGGGCTAAACAGAAGACCAGCAAAATAATGAGAAGGAAGTGCGCGAGATTATTCTTACGTTCACAATATTCTGAAAGAAGAATCGTAAAGGAATCAGAGTACTTTTATGGGGTTTCCGGACACACCTTCATACCCCAATCCTACACTCCAACAGTAATCCTTATTCGAAATTTCAGGATTCCAGCTCTATCGCTTCACCTAAATCCAAATTGCACCAGATTTAGTACCTTTTAGTACATATAAGTACAAATTCTTAAAAATAACTACATATCTCAATTCTACACTCCGACTCAGATCCAAATTGTACCAAATTTAGTACCATTAAGTACACATTTTCATAACTACCTAGATCATGCACTCCTATAGAAATCTTATTTTCAAATTTCAGAATTTACCAAATTTAGTACCATTTAGTACACATTAGTTCGAACTTCTAAAGTTCAGTCCTAGAATACCATAGTAATCTTATTTCTACATTTCAGGATACCAGCCTTATTGGGTCATCCATATCCAAATTGTACCATTAGTACACTTAAGTAAAATTTTTTAATTACCTACATCATTCAGTCCAATAGAAATCTTATTTTCAAATGTCAGGATTACAAATCTAACGGTTCATCCAAAGTTTAAATTATACCAACTTTTGTATCATTTAGTACACTTAAGTACCAATTTCCTAAACTACCTACGTACTTAAGTCCAACGATCTTATTTCCAAATTTCAGAATTCTCACTCTATTGGTTTTCCCAAAATTTAAAATGTACCAAATTTAGTACCATTTAGTACGAATTTCAAAAAGTGCTTATATTCCTCTGTCCTAGAATGCAATAGTTGTCTTATTTCTAGATTCATAATTATTGCTCTATTGGTTCAACCAAATCGAAGTAATACCAAATTTAGTACCATTTAGTAGTTTTCGTGCACATAAGTACAAATTTCGAGAACTTCCTCCATATCCCAATCCTACACTCAACAAGTAATGTTAATTGTAAATATCAGGATTCCAATTAAGTACAATTACTTTGCTCTTTAGAGTAAAGAGAACATTTTTCCCATTCTTGGTGCGATAACGTTTGAGGCTGGGCCTTTGGAAATTTTCACTAAAAAAGAGTTCTGAAAAGCACTAAAAATTAAATACTTTGTATTGGACAAACGCAATGAGCTAAAAGTAATAAATAATAATATATTTGTAATAAAAACCGTAATTTGGTATTAGGGTTGCTGATTATGTGTAGTCAGGAAGTATGGAGGTGATTTCGGATATATATACTATAATTGTACGAAAAGAAAGTAGAAAAGAAATATTGCGGAAATTTGGGATTGAAATCTCTGTTGAAATCTGATTGAGATATGAAGATGTATTTGAAAATGTGTGCTATTTTTGTACGAAAAGTACTTGACGGAGTTTTGGTTAAAGGAATAGGGTTAGAATACTAAATGTAATATTGAGCTTTCTGTTGGTATCTGGAATTGAGATATGGAAGTGGTTTTGGAAATGTGTACTATAATTGTACGAAAAGTACTAAATAGTTTTAAATTTGGTATTGGGAGAAGAGATATATCTGGAATCCTCAAATTGTATATGGATGTTACTGTTTGTGTCTGTCGTTGAGAGAAAAATCTGGTTTTGGATATGAGTACCACAATTGTACTTAATGTGGAAATGGGAGAAAATAAACAGCTAAAATCCTAAAATTTGATATTAAGGTCACTGTTGGTATCTGAGGTTGAGATATGGAGATTGTGTTTAAAATCAGTCTTTATTTGTACGAGAAGTACTAAATGGTACAAAATTTATTATTAGGTGAAGGGATAGGGCTGGAATCCTGAAATTTTATATTGAGGTCACTGATGGTTTCTGGGATTTAGGTATGGTGGTGACCAATTTTCATTATGAAAAGACGTTGTAATAGTTTTGTCCAGAAAAGTTGGATGTGGGTCCATTGTGCAATGATTTTACTAATATACTCCTTCAACTTCAAAATTATACATTTTGAAGAAGTTTTGACTTAAAAGGAAAACATTTTTCTATTATTCTTTCCGAAAAAAGAAAAAAAGATTTAATAATAATTAAAACTTGAAAAACTGTTAAATTCTTATTGTAATGATGCGAAACTTAAAAAAAAATCGGTAAATAATGTACCATTATATGGGGGCTATACGAAGACGTGGACCTGCACCGACAATTTTCAGTCATAGGCTGTAATATCCATTACGAACTTCAAATAAAAACAAGTTAAAAAGCAGTAAGTTCGGCCGGGCCGAACTTTTAATACCCTCCACCATTTGCAACGAATTTGGAAATTTTCAAAAAATAAAATCCTTAAAAAATTCTGTTAAAATTTTAAAAATACCGAATATAGCCGTTATTTTGGGGTCTATACGACGTGGACATGCATAGGCATTGTTGGTCATAAGCCATTACCATATTCAAATTCGAAACTTGAAATAAACGGTGAACAATGTAGCTAAAATCATCAAAATACCGAATATAGGGAGGTACCGTTATATGGGGGCTATACGAAGACCTGGACCCGCACAGACAATTTTCTGTCACAGACTTTAGTTCCCATAACGAACTTCAAATACCAATTTTAAAACAATTCCGGTGAATAATGTCGCTAAAATCATCAAAATACCGAATATAGGGAGGTACCGTTATATGGGGGCTATACGAAGACGTGGACCTGCACGGATAATTTTCCGCCTTAGGATGTAGTATCCATTTTGAACTTCAAATACCAAATTTGAAACAATTCCCGTGAATAATGTCGCTAAAATCATCAAAATACCGAATATCGGGAGGTACCGTTATATGGGGGCTATACGAAGACGTGGACCTGCACGGATAATTTTCCGCCTTAGGATGTAGTATCCATTTTGAACTTCAAATACCAAATTTGAAACAATTCCCGTGAATAATGTCGCTAAAATCATCAAAATACCGAATATCGGGAGGTACCGTTATATGGGGGCTATACGAAGACGTGGACCTGCACGGATAATTTTCCGCCTTAGGATGTAGTATCCATTTTGAACTTCAAATACCAAATTTAAAACAATTCCCGTGAATAATGTCGCTAAAATCATCAAAATACCGAATATAGGGAGGTACCGTTATATGGGGGCTATATGAAAACGTGGACCTACATGGCCCATTTACGAACTTAACCTGCCTACTGGAAAAATAAACATGTGTGCAAAATTTTAGCCACCTATCTCAATTCATTCGAAAGATAGCGTGATTACAACAGACAGACAGACAGACGGACAGACAGACGGACAGACAGACAGACAGACGGACATCGCTAAATCGACTTAGAATTTTACGCTGATCAAGAATATATATACTTTGTTGGGTCTGATATGAGTATTTCGAGGAGTTACAAACGGAATGACAAAGTTAATATACCCTCCATAGTATGGTGGAGGGTATAAAAATTCGGTGAATAATGTCGCTAAAATCATCAAAATACCGAATATCAGGAGGTGCAGTTATATGGAGGTTATGCGAAGGAGTGCACCTGGACGGACAATTGAGTAAAATTTTATCAACTTACTTCATTTTGTTCGGAAGCTAGAGTGATTTCCACAGAAGGATAAACGGATATGCTGATCAAGAATATATGCACTTTGTGGTGTCTAAAATGTATATTTAAGGGTGTTACAAACGGAATGACAAACCTAATATAACCTCAATACAATGTTTGAGGGTATAAAAAGGCTTAACACGAACGAATCTTAAATTTTAAGATAGACTTTTTACTGAAGAAGTATCCGCTTGCTAGAGTCACGAAAATGTTGATGTTTTTTTAAGACTTGATACTCGAACGCTATGTATTGTTTCTGAGGAGCAAAGAGCTATCTATTAAGGATCAGGAAATATATTCCTAAGTTAAAAAAAAAATTTTTTAAGAAAAATATTTGGGAAATCTAATTAAAATCATCGAATATCTGGAAGTATGGTTTTTGGAAGCCATTATAGACAATTGTCTACTACAGTGAAGTTTGAAGGAATTCAGTTTAAAATACTGAATACATGGATGTATATTTATATGGGGCTATAGAACGACGTGGACTTATATAGACAATGCACCGATTGGTAACTCTAAATCCCGAATTTTAACCATTTTATTGGAAAACTGTGCTGGAATCGCCAAAATACCGAACTTCGGAAGACACCATTGTATAGGAATTATACAAAAAATGCGTAGCATTACAGGGTGAGATAAAAAACTGCAACAAAGTCAAACGCCATAATTTGTACATTTTTTTTAATTTTATTGCATGAAAGCAAAAAATGTCGGTAATAACATCAAATTTTAAAATAAGTTTAGATTTTATCGAATTGGTCACCTTTGGAATTAATTATGACCTTCAAATGGCTAATGAAAACGTCATACGCTGACCGAAGGTGCACATTTACAGCTGACCTTTTTGGCAAGTAAAGACGATAATTTTGTTTGTTTACAAACTGCTGGACAACGAATGTTTTCTTATCGGAGAAAACCAAATTCGGCAATTCATCACTTTCGGCCAAGCGAAGTAACTCTTTAGCTCTTTTGAGTCTATTTTCTTTCTGTTGCGATGTAAGTTCTTGCACTTTTTGAAATTTCAATGGCTTTACCCCGAGTTCATTTTTCTATATTTACGGAATGGAATATTGTGATATGTTCAGCTCACGAGCCATTTTTCGGCCACTGCGACGCGGGTTTCGATCAAGTCGCCCCTTTACTTTTCGAACTATTTCTTCGGATGTTGCTGTTTTCTTCAGTCCACTTCCTTGACGTCGGACTACGCTACGCTAGTATCACGGTAACGAGCGATGGTACGAGACACAAAAGATTTATTCACATTTAAATGCTGAAGTGCTCTAACGATAGACACTTGTGGTTTTCCAGTCAAAGATAAAGAAATCACTCTATCACTCTTGAATTCCATCACGAACAACTTTTTTTCTGGAAAATTCTCGCCAAAATGCTTTTGTACGTTTACGTATATTTCGTTTTCAATTCTAGGAATGTGCAAAATTTCAAAGCTCAGTCTTAAATAGTGCGAATAACAAATTTGATAGGTCCTCCATTTTATAATAGAGGATGCGACAATATCATATCACAGATTCCAGTAGCAATCTCTGGCTGGACTTCAGTGTGGTATTTCAGTTATGGAAAATTTTCAAATTTGGTATTTGAGGTTCGTAATGGATGCTACAGCCTATGGCAAAATATTTTCAGTGCAGGTCCACGTCTTCGTATAGCCCCCATATAACGGTACCTCTCAATATTCGGTATTTTGATGATTTTAGCGTCATTATTCACCGAAGTAATTTAAAATTTCGTATTTAGAGTTCGTAATGGGAACTACAGTCTGTGACAGAAAATTGTGTATACAGATCCAGGTCTTCGCGTAGGCTCCATATAGCAGTACCTCCCTATATTCGGTATTTTGACGATTTTAGGTACAATGCTCACCGAAATTGTTTGAGATTTCGTATTTGAAGTTCGTAGCCTGTGACAGAAAATTGTCTATGCAGGTCCAGGTCTTCGTATGGCTCCGATATAACTGTACCTAACTATATACGGTATTTTGATGATTTTAGATACTTAACGGCTACATTCGGTATTTTTAAGATTTTAACAGAGTTTTTAATGGGTTTAATTTTTTGAAATTTTTCAAATTCGTTCCAAATGGTGGAGGGTATTTAAACTTCGGGCCGGCCGAACTTACTGCTTTTTAACTTGTTTTTTTTTTTTTTCACTAAATCTAAATATAAAGGATATCCAAATATGCTCTGCAATTTTTCAGTGTATACCGAAACTCTGCTCTAATTTCCGAGATATCAACATAAAGACTCTAAGTTTGCGGATATTTGACAAATTGAAAAAAGTCCTATTAAAAAAAAATTCTATACAACATGGACACATCTGCATTTTTCCGAATAATTCATCTATTAGCGTTACCAATACAATTCGAGATTAAAACTTTGACATGTTTGATATGGAATACATAAGCATTGCACTATCGATATGCTGGTTGTGTATAAAATTCTCATGGAAGAGAAGATCAGACCTCGACCACGAAAATATTCCTTATGTCAATTTCCTGTATAACTTCTTCAAATAATCAATTTTATGCACCTCATCAAAAGTTCACATATTGAAAGTTTTGAAATCACTCTGCGCCTTTTTCCAAAATGTATCACCATATAGAAAAGTGCTTAATAATCGGCAGACACATATGTTATAATGTATTAGTTCATCATTATAAGGTAATTGTTATAAAAACGAGATAAGATTCTTTACAAACATTTGGGCGAACATTAACTTTTGGGGTAAAATGTCCATCGCCACAAAGACAAATTACTTCCTTGAAACTCACAATACACAATAACAATATTCTACACACTTCCGCCTTACTTCACTACAACTCATCAGGGATGGCTTCACAGGCTCTTATTTTCTCTGTATTCATTGAATACTTTCAAAATTTTTAATCCAAATCCTTGTAATTCGTTTGGTATTTTTATTTATTTTTTTTTTTTTTAATATTCCTTGTTTAATTCTGGGTGTTTTCCTTAAATTAAAAATATACAGTTATTTTCTATTAATTTTTTTCTTACTTTTTCCAGTTTGTTGCTTTTTATTATCCTCTGTAGGTTTACTTCAATATTTTGTCTACAATTTCACTTTTTTTCCTTCACTTTTTCTTTCGCTCAACCTCCACTATTAGGTATTTGATGAAATAAATTTTCCTTGGACTTATTCTTTAAAATTTCCACTTTACGTCTCCTCTCGGTATCTTAGAAGTTCTGGCTCATCAGTTTTGTATCCCGTGAATTTGATATCTGTCTATTGGGTTTGGTGCACTTGGGCTTTAAAGTACGCTGTGCAGAGAGTGTGTGTGTGTGCCGATGTGTGTGAGTGGGGTGCGTTATGCTGGTATGTGTCCTATTTGTTGTGGTACCGCCGATTGTTTTTTCTGCACTGACATCCTCCCATCAATATGCTTCTTTGCAGCCTTTTCGATTTATGTACACACGGCAGAGGCGAACTTATACTCACACACAGACATACCTAGAATGTACTTGACATTTCGTTTTCCTTCTTTATTCACTTTATCTTTTGGTGGCAGGATGCAGCAGCAAATGCGAATAACTCCCTCCCTCCCATCTTGCATATGAAGAGCACATAGCCGAAAATTTGGGTTTCCTTCTCCGCTGTTCGGCGGCATTGCTTTCCCCACCCCCTCTCTCAGTCAAAATTTCCGGTTGCATACCATCACTATTTGGCTGAGGTACTCTCTGTGTCTGTATCCCATTTTTGGATTTGAGTTCTATGTTTTGTTTTTTTTGCATTATTTGTCTGGCATTTGATTTGTGCCGTTGTTGTTGCCCTGGCCGATTGGTGGGGGATGATGCGTAAACATTACCGGAGAAAAGGCGCAAAGCTGTGTCCTCCCTAAGCTGTGACTGGGATATGTTCCTTCTTCAGTGGTTTGTTTACAATTTTGTTTTTAATGTTTTCCTGTTTTTCCTTCATCTTCCACATCGTTTTCGTTTCCTTAGACCGGCTTTTCCCAGCATTTTCCAATGTAAGGGTATTTTAGTTGGTTGTCTTATTTCATTGGTTGGCAAAAAATGTGTAGACAAAAAGCTTATTTTAGACACAAACCAAAAGTCAATGTTGCCATATTTTGTTGTAGAGTTCTCTCTTTCTCTCCACTCTTGGAAAATATAACGGAAATCAAATCATATTTAAAATTTGATTGTGGAATTGTATATTTTAAAATATAACGGAAATCAAGGTTTAAAACCATCTAAATTCCTTCTTACGGAATACATTTAAAATTGTACCATTATACCATTATGGGTTATAAAGCCCCGATTTTGGGAAAATCGTATTATAAGGGTTTGAAATAGAGCAAAATGTTGTACCATTGATATTAAGTTATGACTGAATCTCTTTAAAGGAAGTTCATTAAGGGTAATAAAGGCGATCTTAGGAAATTCGTTCTATAAATGTACGAAAAGTACTAAAAAGTACGAAATACTTTAACGTGGGCTTTGAGTTAACGGTCAAAGCTTAAATCCTAACATTGTACCCGAGGCTCATTTTAGTGCGTTAAAAGATAGAATTATCTATTGATTTTATAAAATTATCATTCTATGGGAGTACAAAAGGGACTAAATCTAGGTCTCTTTGGACCAAATCCGTTTCAGGACATTTGGAGTCGATGTAGCGATGTCCGTCCGTCTGTTTGTCTGTCTGGCTGGCTGGTGCGCACGATAACTCTCGAAGGGAGTATCTGATTTGATCCAAACTTGGTGCATCGTAATATAATATAATATAATAATAAAGTAATATAATTGTCAAACTAAGATCGAGTTCGGAGATGTGCAATATGGTTGAAATTTTCAAAGAATATTTTTTGCACAGAAAGAGTAAGGATAATCCGATCTTGCTTCAACTTTGGGAATCCAAATATTTTCATCACCTCCACAAACGGTCAAAATTTTGAATACTTCCAACTCTTATAAGATGTAATGTAAAAGTTCGATTGTCTTCAAATTTCACACATTCCAATATTTTTGTCAACCCAAGGCCTGGTGTTAAGATGGAATATATCGGACCGCTCCTTCTGAAACCTCCCTCACAGAAGTTCGAAATATCCATTTCAGCTCATAAAACGCGAAATTAACATCCGATTCCATTTAGATTTGGCACATCTGAATATTTCTATCGACACAGGATCTGTTAGAAAAACGGTAGAGATCGCACCATTCCTTCTGGGAGCTTTCCCACAATGGGTTAAAGTTTTTAATAACCAAAACGTTTATAAAATCCGAAATAAATACTTCCATAAATACCAAATTTAATACGTAGTTTTCATACTTTCGTGCGCTTTTTTAAATCTACCTACATACATATATAAACCCCTCAGAAAAAGTGACCCTAATACCAAATTTCAGATTTCACGGTATATCCCTTCCCCATATACCCTTCTAATATACTTCCTACTCTTGGACCTTTTAGTACATATTTTCCAACCCCTTCAAATCACAACTCTACACGATAACAGTGACCGAAATATCTATATTTTAAAATTCCAGTTTCATCCTTCCACCCAAACCTAAATTGTACCAAATATATTAGCATTTACTACAGTTCTTACACTTAGTATAAGTTTCTAAAACCACCTCCTTATATCAACCCTAATTCTCGAACTTAATTTTTACCAAATTTCGTACTTTTAGTACAATAACATTTCCTCAGATACATCTATCCTACACCCTATGTCAGAATTCTAGCTCTCCCATTTTGACTAATATAATGGAGTAAAATTTGAGTACCATTTAGTACATTTACTATACTTATAGCTCGATTTTCCAAAAACTCTGAAAATGCACAATTTGTTCAGTTTGACAGAATTTTTAATTAAGACTTCATACATCGTACAAACTATTCAGACTTTAAGGTTTTATATATTATTCAAGTTTTTCCTTTTTCGGAAAGAATAATTAGAAAATATTTGCCATTTACACCAAAAAGTATTCAAAGACTTTAATTTTGAAGCTAATTGAGGGGAATATTAGATAAACCAATGCACAATGGAGCCACATCCAATTTTTCTGTCCAAAAACTATTTCAACTACTCCATATGTAAACCCCAGGATACAACAGTGACACTAACATCAAAATTCAGAGTTTCAAGTCAATTCCTTCACTCAATTCCAAATTTAGTAACATTTTGTACTCATATTCAAAACAATATACATCTCTCAATCCTAGAAACCAACACTGATCCAAAATTAGAACCATTTAGTTCTTTAGTACGAACAACTATTGTACGCTATTGCTCTGCTCTGTCCCGTCAACCAATACCCAATTTAGTACCACTTTTCCAAAAACTATAGTATACATTTCTAAAACCACCTCCATCTCTTAACCACAGACACCAACATCTAAATCAAATTTCAGGATTTCAGTCCTATTCCTTCACCCAATACCAAATTTAGTACAATTTAGAAGTTTTCGTAGAGACCTCAATATCTAATTTAAAGATTCCAGCTCTATCGCCTCATTCAATACACAATTTAGTACCACTTAGTACTTTTCTAACAATTATAGTACACATTTCTAAAACCACGTCCATCTCTTCTCAACAGTGACATCTATATCAAATTTCAGCTGTATAACTCACCCAATACGTAATTTAGTACCATTTAGTAATTTTCGTACAATTGTAAAACACATTTGCAAAACCATCTCAATCCCAGATAGCCACAGAGACGTTTACATCAAATTTGAGAATTCCAGCCATATCTCTCCACCCAATACCCAACATAGTACCATTTAGTATTTTTCGTATAAACGCATTTCCAAACCTTCCCCAAATCTCAAACACAGATACCATCAGTTACCTAAATATCAAATTTCAGAATTGTATCTCCATACCTTCACCCAATACCAAACATAGTACCATAAAGTACTTTTCGTACAATCTATATCTAAAAAAGAGGAAAATGTTTGAATATTTTTGTTCGTTTGTAATTTATAGACACGAAAACCGCTGCACAGATTTTCCTGAAAATTTCCAAGTATACTACAATATTGCCTGTAAGTAACATAGGCTATATAAATTTTGGAAATTCCACTTGGAAATAGAGATATAGCATCAGAATCGGAGGTACCTCCCAGGGTACAAACCCTTCGTGTATGTGGACTAAATATGACATGTTCCTTCTTTTCTCATGGCCAGCTGTTTCTAACATGTTCACGAGTTGGTAGACCGAGCTATTCGTTTGTTTACTCATTAAAGTATTACACATGAAAATCGATCCTAATACCAAACTTTCAGATTTCAACCTCTATTTATTCAACTAATAAAAATTTGTACCAATTATGGCACTATTTAGTACTTTTTTGCACTTTTAGTACACATTTCGATATTTCTTTATAAAAAACCCACCACCCACAGAGACATAAAAACAAAGCTACAAACTTCCAGCTTCATCTGTTCAAACTAAACCAAACTGTACCATTTAGTGCAGGTCGCACACTTAGTACATATCACTTACATATCAAACTTAATTTTCAACCTTTATTCTCATATCAAATCTCAAGTTTTAGCTCTATCCATTAACATACTACCAATTGGTACCATTTTAGAAGTTTAGTACCATTCTAGAACTTTTGATACATTAAAGGTACGAATTCGGAATTCTGGCTTATGTCATTTGTCCAATACAAAGTATTAAATTTTTAGTACATTTTGGTACTTTTTATTCTTTTTTAGTAAGAATTTTAAAAAATCCAGCCTTATCACCAAGACTGACTTTCGTCCAAAATATTAAGAAGCCATTCCACTTCGACGTTAATTCTTAGTCTGCTAGTCAGTTATTTCACTACTCTTTAGGTATTGCTGTATGTATAGTGTCGACCTTGCCATGTGTGCCAGTCTGTCTGTCGAAATCAACATTCAAGCATAAGCATATAACTATACAGGGTGAGATGAAAAAACTGCAACCAACTTCAGACTGCTGTCACCCACACGTCCGACAGCTGTTAATATTATTCCACTGACAGCTCATTAAATTGTTTACAAGCGTACAAAAGCATTTTGGTGAGAATTTTTCAGAAAAAAATTTATTCGTGATGGAATTCAATTATTTCTTTATATTTAGCTGGAAAACCACAAGTGGCTATCGTTAGAGCATTCCAGCATTTAAATGTGAATAAATCTTTTGTGTCTCGTACGATCTCTCGTTACCGTGATACTGGTAGCGTAGACTGACGTTAAGGAAGTGGACGGAAGAAAACAGCAACATCAGAAGAAATGGTTCGAAAAGTAAAGAAGCGACTTGATCGAAACCCGCGTCGCAGTGGCCGAAAAATGGCTCGTGAGCTGAACATATCGCATTGTTTCATTCGGCAAATATTGAAAAAATGAGCTCGGGGTAAAGGCATCGAAATTCCGAAAAGTGCAAGAACTTACACAGCAACAGAAAGAAAATAGTCACAAAAGAGTCTCTCTCAAAAGAGTTCGCTTGGCGGAAAGTGGTGAACTGCCGAATTTGGTTTTCTCCGATGAGAAAACATTCGTTGTCCAGCAGTTTGTAAACAAACAAAATAATCGTGTTTACTTGCCAAAGAGGTCAGCTGAAACTGTGCACATTCGGTTGGCCACCAGAACTCAAGCCGGCCATGGTGATGGTGTGGGCCGCCATAACAGTCGATGTTTGCTCTCCACTCGTATTAATAGGCCGTGGCATCAGAATAAATGCCGAACCTTGGGCATGCAACAATTTTTTCCGCAGACATTGGACATTCCTACAGGACTCAGAATGGTTACAAAATGAGGTTCCTCATTTATTCATTTTCAGCGCACAATAGCCACCAAAATTTCCGGATACCAATCAGTTGGACTATTGTGTCTGGAGCATTTTGGAAAGCAAGGTTTGCGCTAAAAAATACCAAAGTGTCGATCAGCTCAAGCAAGCGCTTCGCCGGGAATGGGCCAAAATAACGCGGAGAAACATTCGGGCAGCGTGTGACGGTTTCATTGGCCGTCTGAAGGCCATAATTCTTGCCAAAATTGACCAATTAGAACAAATCTAAACTTATTTTAAAATTTGATGCTAGTTCCGACATTTTTTGCTTTCATTCAATAAAATTAAAGAAAAAGTAAAATTATGGCGTTTGACTTTGTTGCAGTTTTTTTATCTCAACCCGTATGTGTCAAATTCAATCCTATTTGATCTACTATTACAAATTTGGTGCACAATAAAAGGCAAATCGGGCGAAGATGAATACGGTAGCTATATCAACATTTTTACCGATTATTTCCAATTTCATTAGGGTTCATCCTTGGCCCAATGCATAAACCGAGTCAGAATGAGGTTCTACGCAGATCATCAAAAGGAACTCGCTTCCTTCTCTATGCTACAAACAAATGCACAAAGACTTAATACCGTGTACCACGTGGGGTATGAAAAAGTAAAATGTAATAAAAAAAATAAGAGAACCGATAATATCATCAAACATCCTTTATATCCTCCCTCATCAAAAGTCTAAATTTTAATAAAAAATTATTCCATGAGTTTTAGCAAATTTCTCACATTGTGATATCTCTGCCAACAGTGAGTCTACTCCTTTCGGCACCTCGTCCAAGGGTCAGCACTTAAAATACAAAAAAAACTCTCAAAAATTCGAAATTAGTGCTGATTTTTTTTAAACATCTCAATATTTCTGACAATTTTGAATTGAGTGTGGAAATGCGATATGTTTGTCCGCTTATTCTGGTATCTCAACCACAAATTATAAAAATTTTGAAAAAATATATTTTATTTTTTACGAACAGAGTACTGAATTTATTCTAAATTTGACCTATTACTTCCAACTTGTTAATGTATACTTTATATATCAATGAAAATATGTAATAAATATTATCTTATAATCCTACAAGTAATTCTTTATTAACTTTGCCATGACCCACTGTCTGTCTGTCTGTGGAAATTATGATAGAGTGCACATGTGTGAAATTGAAAATGGATTTAAATTGGGTAATTCATGTTAAAAGTGGACTTTATCGCTCCTCATAGCCCTCATATAACTATCCCTCATATTTACGAACTACAGACCTGTCCTTTCATACTTACCATAAATAAAAGAGTAAAAAAAAATAAAACCAATATTTTTTGTATATTTGCGATTTCACTTTATTTGTTGACTTCATTATTACATACATCAAATGCTCCAATTGTTTGTTTTTTTATTTTCACTTTATCTTAATTATAATAATAATTATAATTATCAGCATTGTATATGATTATTACTAAAGAATACTAAGTTGTTGTTGCTGTTTTTTTTGTTCAACTACATATTTAGTTAATATATTTTGTTTACGATTTTTGTTTGTTAACCACTAAAACCACAACATATGTAGATGTCATTGTAATAACGAAAATTTATGATAAAAAAAAACACATAGAATAAAATAACAACTGGTAATGGTTGTAAAGTGTGGATCACAAAAAGAAAAAAAATAAAAAAATTACAATGTCTTCGAAATTTTATTGGGTAAAAATTTTGATTAAAATATAACAAAACTAAAAATAATAAGAATATTTTTTCTAAAAATATGAAAACAGTTGATAAGGGAAGCTCTGGTTAAGGGGGAAACATATAAAGATAACTTAATTGGGAATTTAAGTTTTAGTTTTAAGATTGATTTTAATATTGTTTTATATATTTTTTTTTTAAATTTTTATTTTATCATTATTAATATTTAAAGAATAATATTTGGTGTTTCATAATATTTCTTTTGTTTTTTTTAATTACTAAATTATTGGTGTTATTTTTGTTATTAATTTTAATTTTATATTTCAAAGAAATTGGAGTATTTTATTTATTTAAAAAAATATTAGTTTAATATATTTTATATTAGAAACTAAAAAGAAAAAATTTCAAAAAATCAATATCTAATTATTTTCTATTAATTAAAATTTATTTTATTTAATTTTTTATTATTATTTTCTTTTTGAAATTAAAGAACAAATATTTATAGTTGTAATAAAAAAATTATAATAATAATGCCTAGAAAGAATGTCTCCTATATAAAGTTCACAGTTGTTTGTTTGCGTTGTTGTTTTTTTAATAGTTTTTGTTTTTTTTCTCACACTACTACATTTTGTTACATAGATAAAAGATTATTGCTAAATTAAGTGATGCCTAAAGTAGTTGTAGTGGTAGTAGTAATAGTAGTAAAAGTAATAAGGACCAGGGGTTAGTGCTACGGCCATAAGAAAATGATTTTTTCACTTCCGAAGGGACATTCTAGAGTGAACTCAGCAAAATCTCTTTGCCTCGCTCGATCGATTTGTCAGTACAAAGTATAATCTCAAAAAGTTAGGTCATGACAAATGAAACTTTTTTTTGTTTTGCGAGCTCGTCCGAAAAATTATTTGTATTTTTTTAATAAAGTTATCAGTCGAATATATAGCCACAACATGTTAGGCTATGACAAATGAAGTCTTTTTTCTGTGAACTTGAATGGAAACCGAAATAAATGTTTAGAAATGAGATTTAACATTTAATTCTTGCTCTCAAAGCCACCATTAAAAAAACGGATTAGCCTATCATGCCGTGTGAATATTGACAATACTTATACGCCATTATAACTCAAAGAAACAGCTTTTGTTGTCTGATGATATATGATGTTCAAAGCCACCTTTAAAAACAGAACAAACATTCAGTCGCTCAGGGCGTATGAATATTGACAATACTTATACGCCATTATAAACCAAAGAAGTAGCTTTTGCTATCTGAAGTATTTTAATGACTTACTTTCACTTATCAAGGGTTTGTAGTAAGGTATATGTATAAAGATCCTAGCAAAGGGTATCTAAACGCATTGGTTATTTGTAGACAATTATAGAAGAAATTTCTTTAAAAAAATTTCAGATTGTCGTCAGTTTTTTTTTTTTTTTTTTTTTTTTTTGGAAAACACTGTACGGATTTTTAACAATTTTCTGCATCGTATAATAATTGATGCAAGATATTCTAATATAAAAGTTAACTAAAGTAAAGACACTTAAAAAATAGTTTGATATATGGCGTATGAATATTGACAATACAAATACGCCAACTGGCATAAATTGGCGACATCTTGTCCTCAAATAAATTATGGATTAATATTCTATTAAGAGAATTTGGAAGTGTTTTCGGCCCTGTATTGTATAAGAATTGGATTTAAGTTGTTACAAAAAATTGTTGAAAATTAGCTCTCCAGTTAAGACTGATTTAAAATCATGGGCGGGGTATAAGTACTGCCAGCACTCATACGTCATGATGACGTATGAATATTGAAAATAATTATACGTCACCACATGAGTAATTTTTAACGGAAATTGGATTTACCGACATCAAAATTGACTCGGCACTTAGAAATTTAAATTAGCTTTCAATGGAAAATTGAAGGCGTTTTTAATAAAATAACATCTGCCAAATTTAATTTGAGTTAAGGGGTTCACAATTATTCCATGTTATGAAAATAGAAACATTTAATTTAAGTAATGGTGACGTATGAATGTTAACATTACTAATACGCCGCCTTACATTTTGGTACAATATTTCATTCTGATCTCTAATCAGTATTTTGATTTATGGGGCTCCAAATTGACAATTGATGCATTTAAGACTGGCGAATGGTAACGTATGAGTATTGGCAATACTTAATTTATTTTTAATTTTTAATTTTCAATGGAAAATCCAAGTTTTTTTCATAATTTAACATTTAATGTCATTTAAGCGGGCTTAAAACACTTCCATGGTCCACGTTAATCAGGAACTTCAAACAACATTTTATTCGGAATCTCTAACCAGAAATTTGGTTTATGGAGCTTAAATTTGGTTAATTATAAGTCAGTATTTGGAATAATTAATGCACTTAAAATTTATAAGTGGTGACGTATGAGTATTGGCAACACTTGTACGTTAGCATATCTAATCTTCAATATTTCATATCCTGAGTTTCCAGTAAAAAAATCGCAGTTTTTTTTAATTACCATATATTTGTTATTTGTTTAAGAGGCCTTAAATTTGAAACAATTAATAAATTTAAATTGATAAAAAAATGACATATGAAAAAATCTGTATTTTTTAAATCTATAATTTTCAGATATTGGTTCATGGTGGCGTATGAATGCTGAAAATACTAATACGCAGGCATATGTCATTCTATTCGAATCAATTTTTTTTAAGTTTCAAATTGGAATACGTAATTAGTTAATTTAGTCAATATTGGTATTGGTTCATGACAATACTAATACGCAAACAAAATTTCATTGTATTCCGATCAATTTTGATTTTATATCAAGACATGATAAGGCTTGGGATATATCCTTTTGAAGTATCATATAACCCGCATAGTATTTTTAGGATTCTCTGCTTGAAGGCTGTATTTAATTCCCCTCATTTTTATTTTTTAAATTCATGTTGAGTTCGTATTCAAACTTCATTATGTGAGCATTTTTTTTAGATTTCGAGCTCAAAATGTTGCTTTTATATTAGAAGTTTTTCATATATATGCTTTGTCACTAAAATTTGAAGGTCTTTATTTGCTACTTTTTTTGAAAGTAGAGTATTTGTCATTCATGGCGGCGTATGATTGCTGACAATACTAATACGCAAACATGTATAATTGTGTTCGAATAATTTTTGAGTTCATATTAAGACATTATTGTTTTAAAATATATTCTTGGGAATATCATATATCTCGTACAGAATTTTTAGGACTTATTATCTGATATAATTGTCATCTATTTAGCAAATTTATTTTGAATTCGCATTCAAGCTTCATTAAGAGAGCATATTTTAGATTTCGAGCTCTAAAATTAGACTCTTAGAATTATTTGACTTTCTTCATTTAATTGTCTTATTAGACTTTTTCATTTAATTGATTATAAAATTAATGTATTTTAAATGTGGTTAATTTGTCACACCATCCTTTAAACCTTTTCGAATTTTCAAAAATTCCACATTTAAATTTTTTTATATTTGATCACTCTGCCATGGAATATTTCACCTTCGGAAGTAAATTTAAATTTAAGCACAATTAGTGTCTTCAGTTTTTTTTTAATGTAGCACTGTGTAATTCCAATAATCATTTTTTGTGTAATAAATTGTTTTTAAATTGTTGTTATTTTTTTCTAGTTCATGTATCATATCAAAAAGCTGGATATTTACGTATATTGTTCATATGTAGATGTATACTAAGAGTTATAGCTAATCAGCAGCATAAGTTTGTTAATTAATTAATTTTTCCATTTAGTTTTCAATATTTTAATGTAAATTATTTTCATCTATTCATTTAAATTTAATTTTATTTTCGAATAATATTTTACTAAACCTGTTTTATTTCCAATGTGTTTTTAGTTTTTTTTTTTTTTAATTTATTAATTTCCTTAATTTGTTTGTTTTTGGGTTTTCCAAACAAATCGTTTCAATCAATTGTTAGCTCTCTCTCCTTGTAGTCAGTTGCTTCATTTATTTTCCCATCGTTTTAGATCTTTAGCCGCTATACGCGGGTGGGGGTGCCAAATATTGGATTAACATGATTGCGCCGGGTGGTCAACGGTGATGGATTGTTGTTGACACTGCGCCTCGGTGGCATTTGTTGGCAATCGGAATATGAACGATCTGGAGATTGGAAAAAAGAACAAAGGAGTTGGGGTGGTTTGAAATGAAATTCAAATTGGAATAATGTTGTTAATTTGTCGCCATTTTTTTTAGTAATTTGTTGTTGTAGTTGGGTTGTTTTTGGTGTAGTTGTTGTTGTTCTTGTTGTTAGGTTGCATTCTCGTTTTGTTGTATCCATTTTGCGTATTAATTATTTAACTGTGGCCGTGATTCATGCTTCTGCTATGCATTGTGAAATGTTGTTGTTTGTTTTTTGTTGGGATTCAGGAGTTTGTGTAAAGTGCATTTTTTTTTTTTGGATTATGGGTGTGGTATTTTGACATTTTTTTAAGATTTATTGTCATTCAGGTTTTTTTGTTTGTTTGGATGTGCAGGCATGCGGTTAATTGGGTTTAAGAATTCAATCATAAAGAAACAAATAAAAAAAAAGAAAAAAATATTATATTAGTTACAATTCGGTATTTAACGTGGCTTAAAAATAAACACAAATCGTTTAGTCATAGGTCCGGTTAAAGGTCAATGTTTCCCAAATAAATCAGTCAAAATGGGTATTTTGCTTTATCAAAAAGCGTTTTTACCGAATACGGCTCAATTTATTGAAGATCTGGCGACGTATAACTAACGAAAATAGTCATACGCCACCAATCACCCAAAAACTCCACCTTTTTCAATTAAAAGTCGAAAAATTTTCGAATTACATTCCATTTGTAATTCGAATAATTTTAGTTGGGATTTGATTATTCCAAATTTTAATTCGAATGATCTCATTTGACTTTCGAATTATTCCCTTTTTAATTCGAATTATTCCATTTGTAATTCGAACTATTCCATTTGTACTTCGAATTTTTCCATTTTTAATTAAAATTATTTGAATTTTTTCTTCGATTTTTAAATTGAACAATTCGAATTACAATTGGTATAAATTGAATTACAGGTGAAATAATTTGAAACACAAATGAAATCACTCATGTTACAAATTTCAATATTAATTCAAATTATTTCAGTTGTAATTTAAATTTTCCAAATGTAGTTCGAATTAAAAGTGGAACAATTCGAATTAAATTCTCGAATTCTCGAATTTAAACTGAAATAATTCGAATTAGGATTGGAATTAAATTAAAATTAGAATGGTTGGAATTTCAAATAAAATTCTCAGTGAAAATGTTCGTTAATTCGCAATTTCATCTGAAAAAGGTTTAGTTGCTTTCAGACTTAACTTTTACGTAAATAACACTGTGCAACACCATAAAAAATAATTGTTGGAAAAATTCTTCTATGTTTAGAAAGTAGTGCTAAAAATATAAGACATTTTTAGAAAGTATTTTGAAAGTTAACATCGCAGAGTAGAATAAATAGGGGGCAAGTTTGCAACTTTTCCACATTTTTGGACTTAAATTCCTTGAATCCGCTGACTTAAGGTGTATAGTGTATTCGGCAATATAACAATACGAGGCTTATTTTGTTCAACAATTTTAACCCTTTAGCGAGTCACAAAAAGGGTCTTAATGGTCCTTTTTTTAAAATATGGATAAAATCTTAATTTAAATTAAAACATCGCAATTCAAAATATTTTGCAATTTTTGTATGTCATAGCATTCGACAATGGGTCCCAGAAGACACCAAAAGTCTAAATTGTACCAAAACGACAGAAATTCAAATATGTTAAAAAAGCCTTATAGTGCGTATACGTGTTGTCGTTGATTATACGCCACAAGATCCCCATACTTGCATTTGTTTAGTTCCACTGGGCAACGGAAAAAAATAATAACATGGTAAAAATCTAGAAGATTACGAAATCAGATCAAAAGAAGAAGACGCGTGTATCGGTACTTTGAAAGTTTGCATTGCAAAATAACCTCAAACTCTACCCCCTCTCTCTCCGAACTTTTTGAAATTTTTGGATTATTTTTTTTATCCTTGCATTTTAGGTGCATAGTGTCTTCGGCAATATTATTGATAACAATATGAGGATTATATTTGTCGAACTTTTTTAGTCAACAAAAGGGCCTATTTGGTCCTTTTTCCAAAACTTATGTAAAAACCCCTTTTAACGACATCATAGCAAGTCAAAATATTCTACAAAGTCATCAAAGGTCCAAACCTTACCAAAGCTTCAGGAATTCAGATATATTTTTAAATCTCATTTAAAGCTGTACTATATGTGAGCTTATGCAAAATACTTCCTTAAAAGTCATTTAAGAGGATGAAGAATAAACCTTTTGTGTCTCGTACCATTGCTCGTTACCGTGATACTGGTAGCGTAGCCCGACGTCAAGGAAGTGGACGGAAGAAAACAGCAACATCAGCAGAAATGGTTCGAAAAGTAAAGATGCGACCTGATCGAGACCCGCGTCGAAGTGGCCGCGAAATGGCTTGTTAGCTGAACATATCGCAATATTCCATTCGGCAAATATTGAAAAATGAACTCGGGGTAAAACCATTGAAATTCCAAAAAGCTCAAGAACCTACACCGCAACAGAAAAAAAATAGACTCAAAAGAACTAAAGAGTGGCTTCGCTTTTACGAAAGTGGTGAACTGCCGAATTTGATTTTCTCCGTCTCCGATGAGAAAACATTGTTGTCCAGTAGTTTATAAACAAACAACATGATCGTGTTTACTTGCCAAAGAGGTCAGCTAAAAATGTGCACCTTCGGTTGGCCATTAGAACTCAAGCGCCGGCCATGGTTGTGGTGTTGGCCGCCATAACAGCCGATGGTCGCTCTCCGCTCGCATTAATTGAACGTGGCATCAGAATAAATGCCGAATATTATCGCGAAAATATTCTGGAGGGTGTATTAAAGCCTTGGCCACGCATAGATTTTGGCCGCAGATCTTGGACATTTCAACAGGACTCAGCATCAACGCACTCACCTTTCATTCAATGACTTTAAAAAAATTTGGTGCAGTTTTTTTATCTCACCCTGTATTACATAAAAGTACCATCAATGTTGGTTTATAAAAAAAAAAACAGTTTTTAATATTGCTATTGCCGAACTTAGGGCAAAATTTCTTATAATTTCTTTATTCAATAACCAGTCCGGATTGTGATTTGTTAATGCTCGGTTTGTAGAGTAAAAACAAAAAAAGTTTCGCGTACTTAGGCTTAACATTTTTTAAGACCTTTATGTAGCCTTGACCATATACAAAGGGAGCTTAATATTTTGAGATATATTTTGCAACATAGAACATAGAGCTTTGAAAATTTATAGGGAGCTTTGGAATACTTCAGGGGTTATTTGTATGGAAAGTGGATATGCCAGTCTATTTATTTGGTATAGAGCCTATATAGGGGTGCAATTTCATATATTTTTGCGTTGTAGTCATATTTTCAGTTTTATTTCGCCTGTTTTTTTTTGTATTTTGAGTACGTATTATGAAGAAATCCTAGAAATAAAAAATTTCAATATAGGTCCAATAAAATTGTCTTCTATTTTTACCTTTAGTTTGGATTTTTCGGTTCATTTGTTGGTATAGGAATCTAATTCCTAAATTTTTGAAACTGAGGAAAAAGAGTGATATTGTCTCTCTATTTAGGTTACTTTGGGTTTTAAACTTTCAAAACGCCGATACACGTGTCTTCTATTTTTACTTTCATAATCTGATGGAGTTTTCCTGTAGTTAAACGTCTTAAATATAACCCCTCCCTCTTGGTCCAAAAAGTCACCATGTCCATTAACATTTTTATTTTAAACACAAAACCAAAAAAAGTTTCATTTTCATGCAAAAAATTCCATTCCACCAAACACAAAAAGTTCGCATTAACCATTAATCATCATCAACAGGCAACCTACCTCTGAACTTCATACCCTGAGCCTCATTGATGATGGCCGCCAAGGCTGGATGTTGATAACGTTCCCGGAATATGGCCGAACCATTTGGCATATTACCATTCAGAGTGCCGTTATTATTTCCATTATTTCCATTCATTTGAGGATGCAGATGTTGCATCTTGACCGGTGTGTGTTGGGGTGTCAACGATGCCACCGGCGATTGGTTGCCATTCTTATAATAACGATTCTGATTTGGATCATACATCTCCGAGTTCATATTGGCACGATTGCCTGACTTGATGGAGGCACAACGATCCTCCTCATTACGTATCTTGAGGATACGTTCCTGTACGCTATAACGTGAACCATGCAGGGCATTGACCTGATTCAAATTGCTGACCTGTTGCAAATGTTTGGCACGAAAACTGCCACCGGGAGAGTTAAGCATTGTGCCACGCGATGAGCTGACCGAGGTTTCGGTGGAGTCACGGGGCGAGGGTTGATGTTGGTTGGGGGCTTCACGATAACTGGACGGACGATGTGTTGAGGGTGGGGTATCAAGGCCACTGTCATGGGCGGAATAATCCAAGTCTGTGGTAATCAACTTGCTGGAGCTGTTGTTCGAGTTATTGTGGGTAGGCAACATGGGTTGGACTGCAAACAAAAAAAAAATGGTTAAATATTTCTACAAAATACCAAATGTTCTAAACTTACCTGAATGTCTCATATCTGTTGGGGCCCTTGGCTTGCGATACAACCAATCACGATCCAATTCGTTACCATTTTCCGTACTCAAATGGCGGAAAATGCGTGGACGTCTTAGCTCAACTTCACCATCCTCAGCCTCCTCGTCGACAATGTGAGTCGAACCGAAACTGCTGTTGATGAATATACGCCTGGGTGAACCGTACAAGCCATTGCAATTCGAAAACGATGAATTCTGCGACGAGTAACCATTCGAATAACGACTATTGTTACCGCTGGCCGTGGCCGCAGCCGAATAGGGTATCTTCTGCGGGGTTGAATGATTGGTGGACATACCACTAATGTGATTATGATTTTCATTATTCAATGCACTTAAATCGGGCACCGAGTCGGAGAATAGGAATGGATTGTTACCACCATAACCACACATACTATTGGTGACCAGTTTTTGGCCACGTCCAACACCCATACCACTGCCATTGGTCATTAGCCAATCGTCCAAAGCACTCGAATAGGTACCACCCAAACCGAAATGATTTGATTGTAGTGAGGCATGTGAGACGGGTGCAGCCAAGGAGGCTCGGGATCTGGGACCTTGGGCTATTTTCAGGGCACGGCGACGTTCCTTGGAGGTAATGGTACATTCCTGCGAAGTAAAAAAAATGATTAATAGTTATTCATTATTCATTGAGGACAACATATTGGAAAAATTGAAATGGTACTCCTTGGCGTATGAGTGGTGTCATAATGCATACGCAACATTGAAAATCATTAAGATTTTTTAAGAAAAAAAAGGAAATAATACATCTGAGGAACTTTTTGAGCTAAATCTTTACTTTTTTTGAAACAATACTCCACTTTTTAAAATATTTTTCAGAAAATATGGAAACTGAATTGTATTGTCTAAGGCACAGTTTTTGAAAAAGAACCGTCGAAGAAGCTTGCTATGATTTATTGGGTTTTTCATTTTTTAATATTTTTAGAGAAATTTTCAGATTAAAATTCCTTGGAATCCATTGATTTTAGGTACATATTAACTTCGACAATATGGGAGAAAATAATACGAGAACTATTTTGGTGAGAAAAGTGAATCCTCAAACAAGACAACAAAAGGGTCTTTTTGGTCCTTGTTTGAAACCATGGTTCAAGACTAACTTTAAAGCGGGTCGTAGCAAGTCAAAATGTTCTACAAATTTATCTGTCATAAAATTCTATTATGGATCCTGGAAGACAATAAATGTTCTAGTCTTACTTCAACGCCAGAAATGCATAACTATTTAAAACTCATTTTAGAATTGAAGCCGTACTTTATGTGAGATTATGCAAAATTCCCGAACAAATCACCATTTTAGAAAGAAGGCGTCAATGGCAAATATATTCTTCATCAAATATCATTATAAGTCACCGAAGAATAGAAATCTTCATTTCCATTGTATATCAAGAAAATATTTGCATCAATGTTGCCAAAAAACGTGAAAATATTTACGATTTTTTTTTAAAAGGTTTTGGCCTTTTTCGAGTTTATGAAGTCTTTTCCGACAAAACGTGGTTTTAGAAGGATGATGTCAAAGACAAAAATACTCATTATTAAATTTCACTATAAGCCACTAAAAAAATAAATCTCTATTTTAATTATGTATCAAGAAAATATTTGTAACAATGTTGCAAAAAAAAAAAAAAAAAAAAAAAACAGAAAATATTTCCAATTTTTTTTCTTTGTTTTTTTTCGACTTCATGCAAAAATTTCCAACAAGGCATGAATTTAAAAGGATTATTTTAAGGAGAAAATAATTCGTTATTAAATTTCACTATAAGTCACCAAAGAGAAGATATATATATTTTCATTGTATATGAAGAAAATGCTAGCATCAATGTTGCCAAAAAACGAGAGAATTTTTTAGATTTTTTTTTAAACAATTGGTTTTTTTTTTCGAGTTCAAGCAAAATTATCCAACAAAGCATCATTTTAGAAGGATGACGTTGAGGTCAAAAATGTTTTTCATCAAATTTCACTTTAAGTCACTAAAGGAAAGTAATCTCTATTTCCATTGGGTATCAAAAAAATACTTGCCCCAAAGTTGCCAAAAAAAAATATTTCTGCATTTTTTTCAACAATTTTCCCTCAGCTTTTTTTAAGATTTTGCAGAATTTTCCAACAAAGCGTGATTTTAGAAGGAAGATGTCAAGGAGAAAATTATTCCTCATAAAATTTCACCATATGTCACCAAAGAAATAAAATCTCTATTTTAATTGTATATCAAGAAAATACTTGCATCAATGTTGTCAAAAAAAAAAAAAAAAAAAAAAACGCGAAAATATTTTTGCGAGATTATGCAGAGATTAGGTCAAGGAAACAATTATTCTTTATCAAATTTTACTATAAGTCACACAAAAAAACATATCTCTATTTCTATTGTTTATCAGAAAACAATGTTGCTAAAAAACGCGAAAATATTTCTGCATTAATTTCATGGTTTTTTTTTCAAGTTTATGCAGAATTCTCCAACAAAGCATGATTTAAGAAGGAAGGCGTCGAGGATAAAATTATTCCTTATCAAATTTCACCATAATTCACCAAAGGAAGGAAATCTGTATTTCAGTTTTATATCAAGAAAATACTAGCATCAGTGTTGCCAAAAAACGAGAAAATATTTCTGCATTTTCTTCAACAATTTTTCCTCAGATTTTTTCAAGATTATGTAGAATTTTCTAACAAAGCATTATTTTAAAAGAAAAATGTCAAGGAGAAAATTATTCTTTATTTCACTATATGTATTTGCATCAATGTTGTCAAAAAAAAAAGCGAAAATATTTTTGCGAGATTATGCAGAGATTATCCAAAAAAGCATGATTTAAGAAGGAAGACGTCGAGGATAAAATTATTCCTTATCAAATTTCACCATAATTCACCAAAGGAAGGAAATCTGTATTTCAATTTTATATCAAGAAAATACTACCAAAAAACCGAAAATATTTCCCAATTTTTTAAACACATTTTCCTTGTTTTCTTTTTTGCGTTTATACAGATGTCTCCAAGAAAGCATGATTTTTTAAGGAAGATTTCAAGGAGAATATTATTCCTTATCAAATTTCACTAAAAGTCACCAAAGAGAGGATATATATATATATTTCCATTACATATCAGGAAAATACTTGCATCAATGTAGCCAAAAAAACGTAAAAATATTTCCTGATTTTTTGTTCAATTTTTCCTCTGCCTTTTTTCGAGTTGACGCCTAAAATTGACATCAAATTTCATTTTAGGTAGAAAATGTCAAGAGACGAAATATTCTACACAAAATTTCATTATGAATCTCAGAGTAAACCATATATGTAGGTTCAATAGCTGTTTAGAAAATTTCATTCGAAATGCATCTATAAGAATTGAGAATTGTGTGATTACTTTTTTTTTACTGCAAATTAATACGTTTCCATTATAAGTCAAAATCTCCTTTCATACTTATTTTTTTTGACAGAGCGTTAAGGGAAGAAATATTCTACACAAAATTTCATTATGAACCTCAGAATAAACCATATGTCTAGGTTTAAAGGCTTTTAAGAAAATTCCAAGTCAAAATTGTGTGTTTACCTTTCTTTTGCGAGTAATGCTAATTTAATACGTCTCCATTCTAAGTCAAAATATTCTTTAATTCTTCATTTTTTTGGAGAAAGTGTGAAAGGAAGAAATGTTCTATATCAAATTTCGTCATGAGTCTCCGAACTAAATAAATTTATATACTTAATAAGTTGCATAGAAAAATACCATCAGTATCGGCACATTGTTCCTAAAAAGAAAACTAAAATATTTCTATATCTTGGTTAATTTTTTTCTCTGCTTTTTTCGAGTAAGGGCCCGAAAGTGAAATAAAATTTCGTTTTAGGTAAAAACTGTCAAAATACACACTAAATTTCACTAATAATCTCAAAATAACCTTATATGTAGGTAAAATGGATTTTTAGAAATATAACAAGTGCAAATTTAACACGTTTCCATTCAAAATCTCCCATCGTTCTTAATTTTTGGACAAATTCTCAAAGCAGGAAATATTCTATATCAAATTATGAGTCTCCGACCAGAAGAAATGTATATACTTAATATGTACCGTGGAAAAATATCATCAGTATTGGTTTTTTTTTCAATGTGCCCCAAAACGAAAATATTTCCTAATTTTTTTTCGATCAAAATTTCCTCGGCCTTTTCTCGAGTTGACGCCTGGAAGTAGCATAAAATGTTGTTTTAGATGAAAAGTGTCCAAAGATGAAACATTCTCTATGAAACATTCACAATAAACCTAAGCTTAATAGCTTTTAAAGAATAAGGCCGTACTTTATTTGAGTTTATGCAAAATTCTCCTACAAAGCATAATTTTCCATTCCTACAGTCGTATTTTTAATATTTCGAAAATTATTTAAATAATTTATCCAATTTGTTATGAGCTTTTTCTTTAATCCATTTTCCATTAAATTATCTTCTTAAATTATCTTATCCAATTTAAAGCTATACGAAAAAAATCCATTATGGTACCAACTAACGTATAAGTGTTGTCGTTACGCATACTACACCTTTCGCTCTTAATGATAATCTAAACTTTTTCGAAAGTTTTTCGTTTTTTTTTTTTTTGATTGTTTAAGTCTGGAGTATACCCCCATTATTAGAATCTATGCAAAATGAAGTTTTCAACCGTAACGAAACGAAGTTTAGTCTACATAGTTTTCGATTAGTTAAACTTTAAGATTATCACAATCTTAGTTTTCATTAAAATAAAATAACAAATACTCCACCTTCCCTCTCTCCTCCTCAGACCCTACTGACAATTGCAAGTTTGCAATTTTCTTTTATTTTTTCAACTTCCCACGTTTAAACGTTTCTTGGCTCAACTGTTCTTATAGACAATCACCATGAATAGACCGCAAATTTTCATTATGCCACCCCATGTTGCTGTACTGTACGCTGTGACGCTGCAATTTAATGGCATTTCATGGGGGGTTTTCGTTGTAAGCCTTCAGTTTTTGAACAAGTTCATTGTCCCACAATCGAGAGCCATTGATGGCAAGCAGAAGGCATAGCTAAACAAAAAGACTCTTCAGCGGCCTAAAATGTTACTTGTAACAGCGTGTTACAAACACACTTACAATATTCTTTGGAAAAACAAACACACACATAATGGTAGGGTATCTCTTTCACTGGACATTTATATTCACTTACCTCCAACAGTTCGAACCAATCTTCGAGGCCTTCATCGCATCGCAATAAAACTCTACCCTCTCGTCCCAGAAGTAAGCCAATAGCACTGTAGGAGCGACGATTTAACCATTCCACTTTTTCCACATCAACCAATTTGACCTGTAACAAAGAAGAAGTAGAGAAAATAAAATAAAAATGGGTTCCAGTTAAAAAAAGCAAAATGTTAGAAGATGCAAAAAAAAAAGAAAATAAAACACCAAAGAATAAAAGAGTTTGTCCATCAAAGTTGGGTTTACATGTCTGATGCTTGACTGAATTGGTGGCTGGCTGGCTGGTTGACTAGCTAGATGTTTGGCGGCTAATCACATCAGACAATGGCATTGTTGATGTGTGCTGGAAACTTTGGCTTTACCATGCTGCACAGCATGACTTAGCTTAAAGATTTCTAAATGGCTTAAATATTGGCAATAGAAATTAATTTAAATTTCCATCTTCAATGTGGGAGATTTTAAGGGATTTTTCTTTGTTCGAGATAATTTTATGGCCAAATAATTTTTTTATTTAAAGCCATAAATATAAGGAAGATAATTCACTTTGAAAACCGTTTTTATCCTGATTGATGTCGTAGTTATCGAGCAATTACGCCAAATACTCCTTAATTAATATAAATTATACCCAAACTTCTAGTCTTTGCAAATGTTTGCCATTCCTTTGCCTTCCAGCATGTATAAGTTTAATGTTTTTGTAATGGGTTGTTCTTATTGATCGGAGAAATAAATTTGGATTTTATTTGTAATGCTGATAAATGTAGGGATTTGCAAATAATCGCTTAAATTAAAATTCATGGCCACCAAAATATTCATTGGTTTTATTATTTCTATGAAATTAAATTAAATTTCTCTAAGATGCATGTTTTATTTTACAAATGTTTGGGTTTTACTGAAAGGCAGTATTGTTTGGAATATAATTGTCTATGGATGATGTCTATATCCCCCCTAGAACGGAAGAAATATATTATTTTCTGGGAACACCCATAAATTAATATAAATCATACGCACCCTGGGACCATAATCTAAATCACTGTTATAAAATATTTCGGACTAAAACTTTAGAATTTTTTAACGGAAACTCATCACTGAGGTCTATATTTTAAATTTCTAGTTAAGTTTCAATATTACATCCTTAGAATTTCCTGCAATACAACTTTTATTAAATATACATTCAAAGACCAACATCCAAGAAATTTTCAAATTCTTTTCTAATTTTTCTTGATCAAAATTAATTTTAATTTATAGCTGAAATCAAGCAAATATATCGCTCTAAAGATGTCGATTAATGTTTTGAATAATAATAATAAATATTTACATAATACTACAACTGATTTTTTTATTCCTAGATATTTTTACGTTCGAATATCAAATTAAAAAATTAATTCAAATAGCCAAACACAAAATAATTAATTTCCTAACTTTTTGTACATTTTCTGACTTAATTGTAAAGACAGTTGCATTTTAAATACAGTTGTCTTTAGACGCTTTCCATATACTAATTATAATCCTACACATAGAAAATTACTATGGAAACCTATAATTTTGTATTAGTTATATGGACCGAGGGACAATTATCTATAATCACTATTTGGAATGATTTCGTACAAAAAATCCAAATATTTTAAAGAAAAACTCATTGCGGGGCTTATTTAAGTGGCTGTTGATCTGGTCAACGTATTTCAATGAACCTTTGAAAGTATATTTGGAATACTAATAAATGTATGCATTTATTACTATGGTCGATTTAAAAAATTAATTCCTTATTTCTTCCATATTTCTTAAATTAAATTTTATTGAGGACATTTTTAAGATTACATTTATAGACTGTATTGATTTGTATATAATTGTCTTTAGCTGCTTGTACATATCTTGATCAGAAGCAGAGATATAGGGCATTCACTACGAATACCCGTTAATTAATATCAGTCATACGCACCCTGGTACACAAGATTAAAATCGTTTAAAAGCATGTTCAGAAGCAGAACATATACAATATTTTTGAGAGAAACTTATCATGCTGGACTCTATTTTCCATATCTAATTAAGTTTTTCAGTCATGGCCTCCAGATCCTCTGCACTATCTTATAAGTAAGATGAATTAAAATAAACCCAAAATATGTAATTTTACTATTTTGCTTCCTTTTTTAGCGAACTCTTTTTAAATTTTTGGTTATAAATCATGTCTATTTATTCCAATGAAACCATTGATTTATATTTTGAAATAATAATAAGTTTATAAACGTATCATAACCGATTGCTACATTTCTATACATGCATATCCTGTCATTTTAAATTTTAAAATAATGGACATTTTCAGCAATTTTTCCCTTTAAATGAAATTTGAATAGATGTTCATTACAAATATCCATATTTGTAGACTTCCGTTTAAAGGATGTACTGTTTTGAATGTAAAACTGTTTCAATAGTTTCCATATGCTAAATAGAACCAAAGTTATGGAACAATTTTTGGAAAGACTCGTAAATTAATATCAGTCATACGCACCCAGGGACTCTGAAATAAAACCGTTTATAAATTCGTTCACATGTATCAACTTAACAATTTTTAAGGAAAACATATCACAGAAGCTGATTCCGATACATTTATCTATACATTTTATACTTATAGCCTCAAAATCCTTTGATTCGATTAATTCTAAGAAAATTTCAAAAAGGTTAGTTTTTAGTTTCTTTTTTGATTTGTTGATTGAAATTGATTTAAATTTATTGCATTATTTTTCATTATAGGTTTTTGGCATTTAAGATTTGTAGGCTATATTGCCAAGATAAAAACTGTTTTTGAATGCTTTTCATATCATGATCGAAGCCAAAGATATAGAGCAATTTCCAGAAATGTTTATCAATTAATATTAGTCATACGCACCCTGGGACAGTAGATTTTAATCGTTTATAAATATGTTCACAAGCAAAATCTCTATAACTTTTTTAAAGCATTTTCTTTTACATTTCTCTGAGGCCTATTGCTTTACATTTCTATATACATTTAAGTATTATGACATTAAAATCCTGTGCATTTTCTTTATTAAAAAAAAAAACTTAAAATTCAATACCGAAAAATGCTTTTTCTTTAAATTATTTTAATCAAATTTAAATTTCGTTTATAGCTGCGTGTTTTGTAAACATATTGCACCCATCTTATCTATTTATATTTTGAATAATGATGTAGTTTTAGAGCAGTTTCCATAAGCATCCCTAAATTATTATAAATCATACGCACCATATGCCCTTCATGGAATCTCCTTTCAAATCGAAATCTTGCCTTAAGAAAAATTACTGTAATGCTGTGAAAAATGTGCCTCATTAAGGACACTATTCACAAGCAGTTTCCTAGGAGACACTTTCCTCAATTATTCACTTAACCTTGTGTGCTAAGCACGATATTAATTTTGCTCATGCCATGACGGAAGACTTGTATACATACACAACTGCCAATAACCCTTTAAGTATTTGAAACCCAGACGCTTCGTTGGGCTTTCAAAATGCCTGAGCTCCGAGCAAATTTGTCTAGTTTGTCTATGCCTTTGATTATAATTATCTTTGATTATCATTAACATAATTATTATGCTGTTAGGAATTTTCCCGAAACACAACGTTGTATCGAAAGGAAGAGAAGAATGTGGGCAGGAGTGATGCATCCTCCTACCCATATTGTTACAAAATTTGAATTGATTTCAGCCCCCGACAGGGCCTGTTAAGGGATTTTGTTCAATTTCACACAATCAATGAAAGTTGATTGTGTAATTTGATTTCATTGGAATTTCATTTTGTGCCATCAATTTAAAGTGAGAGAGAGAGAGAGAGAGAGAGGAGAAGAGCACGAGAGAGAGAGGAAGTTAATTTGATGTTTTACCCTTTGATAATTACAATGTTTAGTGTTGTGTTGTTTAGCGGCCGACCATGGGAGCTTTTTAATTAGTTTGGTTGTTTGAATGATTGGTTGGCTGTTGGGTTTGGCCAACATAATTGATAATTGAAAAGATATTAGCACAGATGATTAGGCGACGAATGATGGAGGGGATAGAGGCAAATTACTAGAAACGTGAGAATAATTTTTAAATTTAATTTCATGTTTGAAGTTATTAAATTTTAGTAATTGAATAAAATTTTAGTTATTAAAAATGAAGCATGAAGCTCTTATAAAAGAAAATATTTTATTTTCCTAGAACGTATAACTGATGTCCTTACTTATACGCAATATTAAAATAGATTCAAGGAAACAATGATATGAAAAAATGAGATGTAAAACTGCAACCAACTTAAGACTGATGTCGTTTCTAAGCCACTCGTCCAATTAAAAAAAGTTAAAATTATTTCAGTGACAGATCATTATATTATTTAAAAGCGTACAAAAGCATTTTGGTGAGAATTTTCCTGAAAAAAGTTATTCGTAATGGAATTCAAGCGTGATAGTGTGACTTCTTTATATTTTGGCTAGAAAACCCCAAGTGGCTATAGTTAGACCACTACAGCATTTATATGTGAATAAATCTGTGGTGTCTCGTACCATCGCTCGTTAACGCGATACTGATAGCGTAGCCCGACGTCAAAGAAGTGGACGGAAGAAAACAGCAACATCAGCGAAAATGGTTCGAAAAGTAAAAAAGCGACGTGAACGAAACCCTCGTCGCAGTGGCCGAAAAATGGCTCGTGAGCTGAACATATCTCAATATTCCATTCGGCAAATATTGGAAAATAAGCTCGGGACGAAGCCATTGGAATTCCAAAAAGTGCAAGAACTTACACCGTAACAGAAAGAAAATAGTCTCAAAAGAGCTAAAGAGTTGCTTCGCTTGGCTGAAAGTGGTGAACTGTCGAATTTGGGTTTCTCCGATGAGAAAACATTCGTTGTCCAGCAGTTTATAAACAAACAAAATGATCGTGTTTCTAGAGCTCAGCTGAAAATGTGCACCTTCGGTTGGAAGCCAGAACTCAAGCACCGGCCATGGTGATGGTGTGGGCCGCCGTTCGTAATAATCGACCGTGGCATCAGAATAAATACCGAATATTATGGCGAAAATATCCTGGAGGTTGTATTAAAGCCTTGGGCATGCAAACATTTTGGCCGCAGACCTTGGACATTCCAACAGGACT